CCCCAAAACCCCAAAACCCCAAAACCCCAAAACCCCTAGCTTAATTATTTTAATTGAAAATGTTGTGGCTTGGCTTATACTGAGGGATGATCTTATGATGCTTAATATTATATATATTAAGCTTTGTGACTACATATTGTCATCAAAAACTTAAAGAGAGGTTTTTAAAGCCACAACAAAGAAGAGGAAATCACAATATGCCCCTCATCAACAAAGAGATTAGGATAAAAGAGCAAAAAATTGAGGAAGAAAAGGTAAATATTTATTACTTTCATCAGAACTAGTTTCTTTCTCACGAAATTACCTTCATCTTTTAAATATGGATAAAATATAAAAACCTATCGGGTGTTAATTTATGAATTTATCTTAATCTTTAGCCGATCATAACTATCCATCCCACTGAAGCTAAATCTGATATACAAAATAGTTTTCCAAGGAACCCATCTTCTTTCTGAAAGAGAGTAAGAGAACCTTAACCTTCTAGAATAAGGAGTTCCCAGCTGTAAAGTCTAATTCCTTAAAGGATGAGCCTGCAGTGCCACTGAAAAGGATACCTAGCTTGGAAGATGTCAACCACAAGATGATGACTAAGGTGTTAGGCAATCTGTCACAAAAGGATTATGAACGGGTGTGGCAAGGCTGGGCTAAAAATTCACACCTCGGCCAATCTTTTGACGAGCAGCTCAATCTTTCCTTAGTGAAGGTTAGTAACAGAGATGAAGGATGTAACTCATTAAAGTCTCTTAATGCAAAGAGAGGGGCTTATGAACCTGGTGAAGAGTTCTTCTCTGATGATGAAGAACCTAGTCAAAGGAACCATGATGAAGAAGATAGAAAGAGGGTTCTCAAGTTCATCCAAAGTTATGAAAATAGGTTTTCAAGTTTGTGATTATGGCTAGGCCACTCTATATGAGGACTTATTCCCATAATGTTATCTGCAAATGGTTATCTGAGCATCTTCATTGCAGTACCACTAAATAGCCTCTTTATGAGTTTCATGTTCTCAAAATTCATATATTATCAAGGATGTAGATTTATGAGAAGAGAAGGAATTAATCTGGAAGATCTCCTAGAGTCAGATACACAGGATCCATCAAAGCTTAGATCCAAATCTTTGAAATCCAGAAAACAGAGTAAGCTCTTCACCACTAGATATAGACTCCTTTCCAATTCAAAAGGATCTTGATCTTTTAGGAAGAAAGTCAATGTCAAGACCTCTCCAGAATGGTGATTACTTCCTATTAGAAGAGGAAGATGTAGTCATAGTGTCAAAGAATAAAAACTGGTCTGTCTTAAAGCAAGTATTTACCCTCATATATAGTTGGATATATACTGGAGATTATCGTGAAGTAGTCAAAACGTACATCATAAACTGCACAACGAGGTTCACTATTGGACTAATCTTAGTCCTATTGTACTGTCTAGCCACTCCTTTCTTACTGATTATCTACGAACTCGAGTTGGAACTGAATCATTAAGGCAAAATAGGGGTCTAAATCTCGGCATAAAATCCTTCAATCCTCACAAATACTCCGGGGTTTTGGGGTTTTGGGGTTTTGGGGTTTTGGGG